TCCAAACGGTACACTAAAGCATGAAGTCAATTTGCATCAAATAGGTACAATATGAATATAAATGTCATTAGTCTTTCTGACAATATAAATATAATAATATAGATAATTTATAAATGAAAGTAGTCTTAATGAAAATATATTTGTCAAAAAAATTTCATAAATATTACAATGTCAATGTTAGAATGTATTATTATGTTTATTAACCCATGAGCACCCATGCACATGCACCTGTGGGTACCGTATGGTTGGATTGGATTGGATATTCAGTTCTAAACTTAATAGGTGTTTATCGAATTTTTTAATGAATAAATCCGCTAAGTTAGGTTTGAGTTTATAGAAACCCGACCTAACCTGACCCATTATCATCCCTAGTCCCAGCCCTAAACTAATTACTAACTATTGCATGCAAAACAACAAATCAACCGTAAAATGCACATACCTAAGTCCATAATAAACTAACCACAAAATAAATGGATGACAATTTCACCCAAATTCATGGGTAGTTCCTTATCCAACTCAATTAAGTTGGGTACAAATCACAAAGACAAGATAAATGGGTAGAGTTTAATAAGTATATACCCTTACTCATTTATACGGGTTATGTTGAGTTTTTTCATAGTTTGAGTTTGTACTACGCAAATTATAGTTTGTTACTTAAATTGAATATATCTTTAGAAATACCGAAACCCATATATATTTTACCCATATCCTACCCATGAGTTTACTTGGGTGTTGATAAAATTACCCTCCAAGGTTAGCAACCGGTAGCCAACAACTGGGTAGGAGTAGGGGGGGATTGACTTGGGTATTTTGTAGTCACTAATAAGCCAAAAAAATCAACTCAAGGACTTCCCCAACAAAGTAGTTTGGAGTATAACGGAATTGGAACCTACTCTTTCCCATAAGCAATCCAAATACGAATAGTAAAAATAATGCAAAAAATTGCATGCAATGGTAGTTTCAAATGAACTGAACCAAAGAAGCAAACGCATCCTCAAGCTTTTCTCAATATTTGACAAACCAAGTGAATATCTTGGACGCGAATATTGAAGGAGATGACTATAACTGTTAGTTTTGAAGGTAGCTATGTTTGTTTCATCGGGAATCTTTCTATCTTCTCACTAGTATTTAGCACTTTCCAAGTTAAGATCAAAGCTGTAAGGCACAGAAACAGAGTGAGGCGACGAAAGAAGGACCAAGGTCGAAATCCTAACCCAGGAAACATGCTAATGTTGCAAAGGTGCGGTTCCATCCAAACTGAAGCCTCCTAGAACTAGTCAGGTTTATCAACATGATTGCACATATCCACAGAATGCAGCAACATAGCCATATAACAATCTATCTAGCACTCAATTACCATCAGTTGCACCATCAGCGGTGACAGCGGTAGTGGTAGTGGTGGTGGCAGCCGTAGGAGGATCCGCACTGGCAGCTGCAGTGGTGGTGGCGGCGGAAGTGGGAGCGCCAGCAGCATTTGCAGTAGTGGATCCTTCTGATGAACCCAACAGGGTTGGCTTTCTTAGCCAGTACTGTTCAAATCGCTGTCTTGCATAATCCAAGTAATCAAAATCGATTTTGTTGACGTGTTCCTGTGTTAAAAGGGAAGCCCAAAAACAAAAGGTAACAGGACAACACAACATTTAGAGGTGAATGTACTTAGAATAAGTTAACAGCATTTTTATATTCCATATATATCATCGCCACTCGTCGAGGTGGAAAAAAAAAAAAATAGTTGCAATTGAGGGAGAAATTACCGATATTATGCCCCACAAGCCCCAGAACAGATGGCTTCCAAGTGTAAATTTTTCGACATCGTTAAGGAACTGCTCCACCTCTTTGTCACCAGGTTTATCCGCTGCGCACAGATCACAATTTCAGAAGTTAACTATAGTAGAACTGGAGCAGAAAATTCTAATATATTTCTTTATCAGAGAGAGTTATCATCATTGTAGAATCCTTATGGAATCCCAAAACTCCAATTTCATAAAAAAATGACGAGGTTCAGCATCATACTGATTCTACAACCTATGATACCACTCCAAATATATCAAAACTAAAAGAGCTAAATCAATCACAGTGATTAGTATTCATTGGGATCCAGAAAGATAAAATTACTACCTGAAGAAATCAGATAAGCTTGCACAAACCGTTGGCGCTCCTCCAGACCTGTTAAGCTTTCAGGTCAACAGATAACAAGAAGGACAGTAAAAATGAAAGGAATGATTAACTAAACTACTAAGTGATGTGTACCAGGGTATTTAGTGTAGTCCACTACATGGGGTGTGTCCGAATGGTAGTCAGCAGTCATCTCACAAAAATGATTTGCTAAATCAAAGGCAACAGGATTGTAACTTGCATACTCATAATCCTGTTAAGTGTATAAACCGAATTACCGAGTATCATTGGTACAATATCTGAGATAAAATCGTGGAAACAATAAGTGGAGCAATTGAAAATCAGAATAAGAATGACAGGAAATGCCATCCAGTATCTCAGTACAATATCATCTTTCAACTACTATTTGCCATAACTAGTCAAGCATTTAAGCAATGCGTGCAGGCTCATGACAATTCCAGTTGCAGCCTTCAAGGAAACTTATCCACCAAAGAAGTGAAAAGGAACAGAAAATAGACGCACAACATAACATCTTACCAAAAAGAGGAGAAAATATAACGCACAACATCTTATAAAAAAAAGGAGAAAATGTAACGCACAACATTCATGGTATCAGATATTCTTGAAGCAAAAGAGAAAATGACGTCAGAACTCAGAATCAAAGAGAAGTCAAATCTGAGCAAGCCGGTTTAGATACATTCAACCAGCTCAGGCTTGTATGTTGAGCACCTTAATAGCAATGTATACAGTAGAAGTCTAAGGCAATCCGACCAAAGCAGGATGGGAGAAACACCAAGGCATTACGTACATAACAGGAGGGCAGGAAGAAAACTTTGAAAACTTACAATTATGGTGATTGCTTTGGTTTCTTCATCAATCATTATATTACCATACTGTAGATCATTATGGCAAAATCCAATTCGTTGATCAACGGAGAGATTCTTCTCGAGTAATGTGATTTCCTCGTCAATATCATTCAAGCGGAAGGCTTTAGCTTCATCTGGAGAACACATATCCTTTGCCACTTTGAGCCAATTTCTGAATCATCCACAAATTTTGAGTAAATTATGCAACTATATTCAAAACCATAGTTATAGGGGTAACAACAGTAAGCAAGATACTTATAACACCATACTTAAAACATCAAAGAAGAGTAAAACTGTAATACACACCTCAGTCTATCCCAAAGGTAGACAATCTTTTCACCAGGCATATCAAGAACATGAAACTCCCTCATTTTGGCCGCTATAAGTACTGAAATCTCTGGATCACGCAGATCATGAGCCGATAGTGTCTGAATACCACATGTGAAGAATACAGGGTTATATGTGTCTGTGCCAATCAGTGTAATAATTGTACGAGCAGCTAATCGATTAAAGTGCTATACAATGTTGGATGAGAGATTTCTCATACTCAATTAGAGACTATTTGGCGAGTACTCCCTTTTCTTTGAAGAAAAAGAAGTTGGAAAAATTCCATAATGTTATGACCTGCAAAACTTATACCTAGTTCAAGAATGGGATAAAAAAAAGCTAACACCCGCAATGGAGACATCTTATGAAATGGTGAAGAGTGCTCATTCTATGACACCCATTGCACTGGTGTAGTATTTTTTTGCATTTACAGGGCTCTAAAGCAAGAAACAAATTATTGAAGAAGGGTAAAGAATAATTACCCGAGCATGGATGAACTCTTCAATTCGTCCTTTGGAAAACCGTCCAAGCAGACGAGGTCCATACCCCTGTTTGGACATGAACTCAAAGGTGTGGATCTCATTATCCCTGTCAAAGAATACCTCCACACCCACACCGTAAATCCTGACCACAACCTTGCGCGAGAGCTCCCCAGTCTTCGTTGGCCATTTTATTTGGAAGACCTCATTGGTCATTGCACCTTTGAGAGGGATCACCTGCAATGCATTTGCGTCAGTCACATCTTCCCACTTGGATGCCAATGATTTCAGCATCTCCTTTGCTTCTCCCGGTACACGCTCTTCTGGCATTCGTTCATCTTTTTTGTTAACACCCATATCAAATTCAGCAACCCCTAGAATCGCCCGAGTTTCGAATTGCAACCGGGATGGACAGTGTCTCAACCAATGTTTGATCTGAAACACAAGAGGGGGAAAAACATCAAAAAGACACCCTTCGTCAAGGGAATTCAACGAAGCAATGAGCAAAACGATTCAGGAAAAAGGAGACGAGCGAACTCAGCAATTAAATAATCAAAATTCTGCATGCGATCCCCACAGGAACAACTGGAAATTCTTGCATGCGTAAGGAATATTACCTAGCCAAATTCCACTTGTTCGATCCCGAAGATAACAAAACAGACGGAGAAAGAGATGAGAAAAAGTTCAACCAACCACGACGCCGCCGGCGAGAATTACAGGAGAAATCCCCCCACTACCTAAGGCGGTTCGGACAGCGAGTTTTTTTTTTTTATTTCGATGGTAGAAACGGTGGAATGGAGAGAGAGAGAGAGAGAGAGAGAGCAGGCGAAAGAGAAGGAGGGCTCTGTTCTTTAAAAATGGTTTGAGGAAAGAACCAGTAGTGGTCAAGGAGAGGGGGATCGATGCAGAGGTCGGAGACGCTACGATGACATGTCGCGCGCAAAATGGGTATATTTCGGCAAGGGAGCGGAGGAAGATTCGGGTTCCCTTTTCTAAAAGCAGTGTGTAACTGTAACCGAGAGGGATAGAGAGATAAAAATGTGCTGTTCCAGGTGATGGGCTATAGTTTTGGGTTTGGGCCCACGTTTGGAAGCCCATCTTATTCCGGTTACCGGATGCCCGCTGCCGTACTCGGCGGAAACGGGCAGGCAAAGGCCAAGGAGGGTTTAAAAGAACAACCGGCGGGGTTTTAAGGAAAAGAGTCAGTCAGTCGGTCCTCCCGCGCCCCTCGTAATCGGTTTCCTTTCGGCTCCTCAGTTTAATTTTCTCCTTCTGGTCTCAACTCTCCGATAACCGTCCATGGGCGCCGAGTCGCTAGCAGGCGGAGAGTAAGTGGCGCTGCTTCATTCCTTCTTTCCTTCCGATTACTCTTGTTGTTGGTAGTTCGAATGCTGTTGATCGTTCTGGTTTCTGAAGTCTTTTTATTGTTATTGTTATTAATAAGGCCGAGCACTGTGGAGCAATTGATCGACAGGCAGAAGCTTGCGGCCCCAATCAAAACTGCAGTGGACAAGTTCCAGCTTGTTCCCGAGTTCTTGAAGGTAGGAAGGAAGGAGGTCTTGGCAACTTTCGTTTTCTTCTCTCTTTTGCTTCATTTGAATTGGTTGCTGCTGCGTTCCAGTGCGGTTGTTGATATATGATTGTTTGTTTGATTGTGGATGAAGGTGAGAGGATTGGTGAAGCAGCACTTGGATTCATTCAATTACTTTGTGAATATTGGTATAAAGAAGATTGTGCGAGCCAATGATCGCATTGCATCCACGGTTGATCCCAGCATCTACATCAGGTATGCCATTTTTTTTTTCTCGTGTCCTCTTGGTTTTTGCTCTTTTGCTCAATTGTACTTTGATTCAAGTCTGCTTCATTGTCTGGCCAGTATTTGGCTTCAGCTTTTTTTTATCAGTTTCTGGTGGGTGATTCTCGGTTCACTTGTCTCACTTTGATATCTCCAGGTTTAAAGATGTGAGAATTGGCACCCCTACTGTGGTAGTGGATGGTGTTAGTGACAAACTTGCTCCCCACACATGCCGGTTATCTGACATGACGTATGTTCCTCCTGCTCATTCTGCCTTTCATCTGTTATTTTTAGCCTTTTAGTGTTGATCTAACATTGGGTGTTAGGGTGAGGAAGTAAGTGTTTTGACGTTTTCGCAAGTTCTTACATCATACTTAAGTAGTCAGGCAATGACTTAATAATCAATTCATTGCATCCCTGGGACCTCTCTTGTTCTGTTGGATTTTGAATGTGTCATTCACTCATTCTTCATGCCCTGCGCTGCATTCTTCATGTCGCTGCTTCTTTTCTTAACTCTTGCTGACTCTTCTTTCCTGCTCTATTTCTTTTCTTGGGTAATGCTCCATGACATGCATAGTTATGTGACGTTCTTCTTCCAATGATAATCGTCGCATCATGTTTTTAAACGAGGTGATCTTGTTCTTTTGTCCATTTGTCACTTCCAACCTATTTTTGTTGTGATAATTCTATGCATTTATCTTGGTACCGAAACAGATGCGATAAATGTTCAGTCTTGTGGAGGCCGTAAAAGAGTTGAAGTGACAACTAATTTGCATCTCATGGTTTAGTATAGTTAACCTTTGCCACTCTGCTTTATCTTTATGACTTTCGGCTGCTTCGGTTTTGCAGGTACACTGCACCAATATTGGTGGATATAGAGTATATTCAAGGAAGTAATGATCAGAAGTACAGAAGAGAAAAGGTAATCAATGAGCACTGACTCTCTGTTGTGTCTGCTTTATCTGGGCCGTTTTAACCTATATGGTTCGTTCCTGCAGCGCGATATTTCTATTGGAAGAATGCCTATCATGTTACGGAGTCAATGCTGTGTATTATATGGAAAGGATGAAGCTGAACTTGCCAAACTTGGTTTGTCTGCTGTTCTACTGATATATGGCTGTCTGATGTTTCCTGTTTTCTCTCAGATGGGGAAAAGGATTCATAAATTTGATGATCACACATTTATTTATTTGTTGAGTTCAGGTGAATGCCCTCTTGATCCTGGAGGTTATTTTGTCGTCAAAGGAACAGAGAAGGTGATATTCTCTGTCTTATGATTATCAATTTTGTTGAGGTGGTGATTGTTTGCATTACATATACAAGCCTTATATTTAATTTTCATGAGCTTATTTGTTTTTCTTTTTGATTCAGGTGATCTTAATACAGGAGCAGCTATCAAAGAACAGAATCATTATTGACACTGACAAGAAGGGGAAGTGAGTCCCTCACTTTTTGTTCATTATTTCTTATTTCTTATTCTCTCTTCTTGTTATTTCATTAAGTTAAATTTTGTAACCTGTATGCATGGTAAAATAATAGGGATAATGACGTAAAAGACCATTTTTGTCTGAACATTCGAGTAAGATAGTTTTGTCAGAGTCTTGGAAAAAATGGACAAATTTGCCCGAACTTTAGGTTGACCATTAAAGTCGACGGAGAAAATTGGACCTGAAATTTGAGCCTCTCTATTAATGGTTAACCTAAATTTCTGGCCAAAACTTTCCATTTCTCGAGATTTCGGACAAAACTGTCTTATTTGAAATTTCGGGCCAAATTTGTCTTTTACGTCAAAGTTTAGGCCAGAAAAGGGTATATTCCTATGACGTGGAAGCCACGTCGCAAACACCTCACATTGTATGATGAGTCATAGACGGAAGAAATGTTTGACCGTCGATATTAACGGTCAACCCAAATTTCGGGCCAAATTTGTCCATTTTTTTTAATTTGGACAAATATGTCTTATTTGAAAGTTCATGCGAAAATTGTCATTTATGTCAAAGTTTAGGCCAAAACTGGGTATTATCTGTAAAAAATAATACAACCATTTTGATGATGATGAGACCAAAATATTCATTTCCTTTTCTATCTCTGCTACGATTGTCATCATCTTTATTCTGATCTATAAATGATAATATTTGACAAAAAGAAAAAGTTCTACGATGATTCGTTGGTTTCTTTGTACTCCATTTATTGCCTCATTCTTCTCACTTTATTACACGGCATCACGTCCATGGTAACCACTTACTATTATTATTATGTATATTACAAGATATCTGTATTGGGCACAGAAACAATTTTTCCATGATATTTGTGGTTCTCCTAGTGGTGTTTCTTCCATCTAAACTTTCTGTTTGTTCTCTTGCCAGCCTGACAGCATCTGTTATGAGTAGTACAGAGGCAACAAAGAGTAAAACAGTTATCGTGATGGAAAAGGGGAAGATGTATTTGTCCCTTAACCAATTTACAACAAAGGTGTTGTGTTCTACTTATTTACTTCTCTACCCAAGAGAATTTATGTCTCTTTTCTTCTTGATGGTGGTCTAATGAGTTCGGCATGATTAATGCATGTAACAGATACCTATAATGGTGGTCATGAAGGCTATGGGAATTGAAAGTGATCAAGAGGTTGTTCAAATGCTAGGAAGAGATCCTCGATATAGTGCACTACTCCTTCCATCTCTTGAGGTATTATCTCCGACAAAAAATTTCATTGACAATTAGCAGACTAAGTGGACCTCCAGGACACACTGACACAGTAACTGAGAATATGGAACTTTCTGTGCTTTCTGCACTGTGACGCGCAGAAGTAAAATTGAACTGCTAAGTCATTGCTCCTCAATTTTGTATCTTGACTTGCGTTTTCTGCTTGCTGTGATGTAAATGCTCAAGGTATGATGATATTTCCCATGACTGATATTTCATTTTGCTTGTTCCTCTGTAGAGTGAAGTGAGAGTTATAACTTGCAAATATGGTGCTTCTCTTTTTAGTAAAAATAGAGGAATTTGGTGCCTATGACTTCCATGTTGAAGAAAGTTACTTTTCTGACTTCTATCTTGACTCGTGACATTATCCTGTTCTTCTACGTTCAGGAATGCGCAAGTCTTGATATCTTTACACAAGAAAAAGCATTGAAATACCTCGACAATAAGGTAGGTTCTTTTTTACTCTATCACATAATAGCATCTGATTCTGGACTCTCTTGCCTTGGAGGAATGAAAGAGAGGGACGGAAAGATGGAAAAACAAAATTACTTACTTTATGTTTGTGCAAGACAGAAAAATAAGGATGAAATGAATTTCCAGTAGTCTGGCAAATTACTTTACTTTGCGTACAATTGGCTCCCACCCTCCTTTTTCTGTCTGAAGATCTGGCACAACTCTTATTTCCCTCTGATGACAATACTGTCTGAGTGCACACTGTGCAATATCCCTAGTTTCCTCTGTTTATCCTCTATGGCAGTAGGTGTTTGATGCTAGCTCGTTTATTTTATTTCTTTCATTGCTAGAGAGTTACTCTTGATTGCATGATAATTTACATTGTATCATGTCTAACATAGAATCTTATGATTTTCAGAAAGACGGGAGGGCTTTGTCTATCCTTAGGGACATATTTCTTGCTAATGTTCCAGTAAGATTTTTATTCCAGCTTAATTGCCATCTCTTACCGGTTACTTGCTTGCTCACAATCTTGACTTCTCCCTCAGGTTCACAACAATAATCTCCGCCCAAAATGCATTTATGTTGCTGTAATGCTCAGAAGAATGATGGAGGCTATTTTAAACAAGGATGCAATGGATGACAAGGTAAATAAAGCTGATTTTATAGGTAGTTGATGGGCTAAATGTTTAGTGGTTTGTCTATGTTCCCCATAACGTAGAGGTCGTTTAATCCAGTGCATTTTAGTTGTATAATTTGAAATAGCTTGATATTATCTTAGTGGTGACAATGGGTCATATAAGACCCCTTTAAGGAAGCACTGGACCAGATGACCTCATAATGGATATTTGCTTGACTGGTGCATTTCCTGTTTTCCCTTTCTTGCCTTTTGTAGGATTATGTGGGAAACAAAAGGTTGGAGCTGTCAGGGCAGTTGATATCCTTGCTCTTTGAGGTATTTTTGTTCCAGTTTGTACTTCGGTTCACATGTATCTACCCTCTAACGTTGGTTGTAACATGTTATCTGAATTTTGACATGTAGGACTTGTTCAAGACAATGATCACGGAGGTTGAGAGGCAAATTGATTATGGTCTCACCAAGAAAGTTCGATCAAGCCAGAGTGATCCTTCTCAGGTAGGCTGGAATATATTGGACGATTGAAGTCTAGCTGGGCCTGAGTTTTAAAATTTTCCTGGTTCCGTGTACCATCTGTCGGATAATTTAGTGAATATAAAAAAAATTGATTGATAAATATATATCTGCACTGTCAGTGTTATTCAGTCGTTTATGTTGGTACCGTGCATGAAAGTGGAACTTCTTGAAACGCGAAATTGGCATAGGTTTATGATACTTTAATTGAAACATACGTAGATTTCATTCTTCTTATGCCTTTTGGCTTCTTGTTATCTTTCTGGAGATATTTTGTGAATGGATCTCAAAGTCAAATCGGGTTTCTTTATGTTTTCTTCCTCCTACGAAAATTTGATTTGGGTGGTCGTTTGATGCTTGCTGACATCATCTGATCTTTACTGATCTCTGCTGTTTGTATTTTCACCGTAGTATTTACTCAGGGATAGTATATCCAATGGGCTAGAGAGAGCACTCTCCACTGGCAATTGGGATGTCAAGCGGTTTAGAATGAACAGGAAAGGAGTTACACAGGTTAGATTCTGAAAGAAATTTCTAGATGGGCCTATTTGGTATCGGTCTTCTCTTCTTCAAGTTAATTGTCAGTTGACAGAGTTGCTCTGTTTAATAGGTGTTGGCTAGGTTATCCTTCATAGGATCTCTGGGTTACCTGACAAGAATTATGCCCCAATTTGAGAAGTCGAGGAAAGTCAGTGGACCCAGAGCATTGCAACCAAGTCAGGTAATGATTACCACTATTTCTAGTTGATTTTATTTAGTAAAGGATAGGAATTATCATGTTGAATGAAAATTTTCTTTGAGTTTGGTTTATTCTGTGCTGGGATGATTCTGGCCTTGTATTGCAGTGGGGTATGCTTTGTCCTTGTGATACTCCGGAAGGTGAAGCTTGTGGACTGGTGAAGAATTTGGCCCTAATGACTCATGTTACAACTGATGAAGAGGATGGCCCGTTAATTTCTCTAGTATGTCTTTTCTTGCATATTCTTGCTGTGATTGGAGTTATGAACTGGGTTATTTACATCTTCCCCTTCATCATATTTGTGTCTGTACTGGTTCTAAATTCATATACCTCGTTAAAAATGTGAAACATTCACCCTCCAAATTCTTTGGTAGTCCCGTATCTAAATGATGTATTTAATGAATGTATTTTAAAATTAATGATGTATTATACATAAAATATCTCCCCTCCCCCAACTGAATCTAGAATGAACACATTTGTTTGTGATGTGACATCACAAATTACTCATTGGAATGATTTAACTATCTTAGCAAAACGATCTTTTTGTTGAGATTGTAGTCCCTTCTTTTTATTTCTGTCCCTAACAGCTTTACATTTTTTCATTTGCTTGGCATTTTATAGTGTAAGGATGGTGCTAAATGTGAATTTCCCCAAAAGCGGCTTTACCCTTTTCATTCATAAAACTACAGTCGCAACAATAAAACGTTATAATTTTATAATGCAATCGTTTGAACAATACATGTATTTATAGTCCATGCATTAATAGAATACATCAATCTTAACATACACAACTACTAAAACATTACCATTTCTCGCTCTTGATAGTTTTCACAGTCCTCTTTTTCCCACTTCTTCCCAGGGTAGCTTTCTTGAATCCTGCAAGAAGCTGGGTAGCATGTATTTGTGAGTCCCTTCCCCATGCCTTAGTTGGCTACGTATTAGTGAAAGTAATACTCATGGGAACCTTTGGGTAGTCGAAAAATGCAATGAACCCTTAGTAAACGAAGTTGAGTAACTTTAGGCCATATCTACAGTTATCAATCACCTTGCTGTTTGTTTCTTATTTTTGTGTTTGCTCTCTTTAAAACAATCCTCCCAGATTTTTCAGTGATGTTTGTGCATAAATTGTGGTACTTTTACTGTATCTCTTGCAACAGTGCTACTGTTTAGGAGTAGAAGACCTCGAGCTTCTCTCTGGGGAAGAGCTTCACACTCCAAATTCTTTCCTGGTCATGTTTAACGGGCTGATTCTTGGCAAACACAGGAGGCCTCAGGTAAACAGTTGTATGTCTGTTGTTTAAAAGTGATTAATGAGGTTGTTTGTTTGTTGAATTTTTTATATTCTTTACTGATCGCCGAAACACTATTTTTTAAGCATTTTGCTCATGCGATGCGAAAGCTGCGAAGAGCATGCAAAATCGGCGAGTTTGTGAGCATATTTGTTAATGAAAAACAGGTAATTCTTCTGCATTTGTTTATGTCCAATGTGATTGTTTTGGCATTTAAATATGATTTTTGCGCCTCTTGGTTTGTTATTCTGGTACATAGGACTCAGATTTGACTGTGGAACATAGTTTACTAGTCTGCCTGATATACACGATTTTCCTTTCTTATTTGTGTTTGGTTCAGCTAATTACATAGCAGCTGGCACTGATGCTCAATATTTGTTTTACAGCGTGTTGTTTATATTGCTTCTGATGGAGGTCGAGTGTGTCGTCCACTGGTTATCGCAGACAAAGGCATATCAAGAGTCAAAGAGCACCATATGAAGGAGCTTCTGGTGTGTATAATGGAAACTCTTGTTTTTGCGTTAAGATTCAGCTGGCACCTAATTTATCTCTTTTCCATTTTAAGGATGGTGTTCGTACTTTTGACGACTTCTTACGAGAGGGATTGATCGAGTATCTTGATGTGAACGAGGAGAATAATGCTTTGGTATGTTTCTGTTGTAACTACATTATAAGCATTTTGCTGGTTGGTTCTTGCCCAAGTTCATGAACTGCAAAGGTAGAGGGTTAATGCATTCATTTTACAGATTTCTTTATATGAAGGGGAGACTACTCCTGAGACCACTCATATTGAGATAGAACCATTCACCATATTAGGTGTTATTGCTGGGCTAATTCCATATCCTCATCATAATCAGTCTCCAAGAAATACGTATCAGGTAATTGTCTCGTCTTCCTTTTTACTACAGTCTAATGTCAGCTCCTGAGTTTGAACCTCGAATTGATTCGCTAGTTTTCATCCACTTCTACGATTAAGTCGGTCAAAATATATGCAACGGTGACCTGAACACTTGCTCCTGTTTTGACTTCCTTTTACCAGTGTGCCATGGGGAAGCAAGCTATGGGGAACATAGCATACAACCAGGCAAGTGATGCAATCAGATCCTTCTTTCTCCCTGCTGTATCAGCTTTATGTTCAGTCCACTACTCAAATGTTTTTTCCAGGCACATCTTGATAACTTCTTATGCTTTGCAGTTATGCCGGATGGACACACTACTTTACTTGCTGGTGTATCCTCAGCGCCCTTTGTTAACGACAAGGACAATTGAACTGGTAAATGATCTGTAGAGTAAATCAGTGCTGGTTTTCGGTGGTTGTTTGGTGAGTTAATCTCTTTGCTTTTAGGTGGGATATGACAAACTTGGAGCTGGCCAAAATGCGACTGTTGCTGTCATGAGTTATAGTGGCTATGACATAGAAGATGCCATAGTCATGAACAAGTCATCTCTGGATCGTGGATTTGGTCGTTGTATAGTTATGAAGAAGTATGCTGCCTTAGTTTATCCATGGTTCTTATCGTCTCTCGTCGACCTATGGCATATTCTGCTACATGTTTCATGAGTTTCTACTGAGTTGACCTTTCTTGCAGGGCGTCTTGCATTATGAATCGGAGGTATGATAGTGGGGCTTCAGACAGGATAGTGAGGCCACGTGGACTAGACAAGGACAGGGAAAGGGTAAATTATTTGTTCCTCAATATCCACTTTTCTCTCACGTTAGAGCACGAAAAAATCCATGGTATATCTTGGTTGTGCACTGCAGACCTGAGGCCGCATGTTGTTTATGTGTCGTGTATTTAAAGTAAATTGCTCGGCTGAGAAGATGGTAAAAAGAGTTGGCATTGCCATGATTGATTGAGTGTGACTTGTAAGAATGAGTTTGAGCTGACACATTCTGAATTCCTTTGCAACAAAAAGATGGCTGTCCTTTTATCACTTTGGATGTTCAGTTGAGTATGCTAGATAAAATGCCAGAAAAAAGTTGGGACTTACTCATACGATCAGGGCTTACTGGAGAAAATTGCATACCTTATGCGTCGATTCCTTTACCCAAGGTTTGGAATTCTTGGGCATAATTTGAATGCAGTATTTTTCTTTTATGTAGATCTTGGACGTTGACGGACTTGCTGCACCTGGACAAATAATTAGACCAAATGATATCTATATCAATAAAGAGTCCCCAACTGAAACCAAGAATCATAAATCTGCAGAGGCACTAGCTGATATGTAAGTGGAACATTACGCCTAATTTGACTATCCCTTTCATATAATTTTTACTAATGTGTCTGCTATATATAGGAAATATAGGCCTAGTATGCAATCTCACAAAGGGCCTGAAGGAGAGTCGTGCGTTGTAGACAGAGTTGCTCTGTCTACTGACAAGAATAACAACATGTGTATCAAATTGATAATTCGTCACACCCGTAGGCCAGAGGTTAGGAACTGGTTCTTTCAATTTCGAGATTGTGATGATATTGTTTGGAGTTTATTGCAAGTTTCAGTAAAATCTGAAATTCTGTTTCATTGATCAGTTGGGTGACAAATTTAGTAGCAGACATGGTCAAAAAGGTGTCTGTGGAACAATCATTCAACAAGAAGACTTTCCATTTTCTGAGCGTGGCATTTGCCCTGATTTAATTATGAACCCGCATGGATTTCCTAGGTAATATAATCTCTTTATGTGATCCTCGTTATCTTTTGGATTTCCTAGGTAATATACTTCTTCATGATCAGTCTTGCATGATTATAATAAAGGAATACAGACAGCATAACTGTAAGAACAGAAAAAGGGAAGAAGTGGCTAGTGTCTCCTCTGAGTATGGGATAGTGGTTATATTTACTTATTTCTTCATAGTATGCACTATGATGCATGATACGGGAGTAACCTTCCGGTGATTAATAGTCGAATGACAGTCGGGAAGATGATAGAGCTTCTTGGAAGTAAGGCTGGAGTTTCTTGTGGTAGATTTCATTATGGTAGTGCATTTGGCGAACCAAGTGGTCATGCAGACAAGGTTGATGCTATAAGGTATACTTTATCTCTCTGTTACATCGTTTACGTTGGCTTATTGATGGTCATTTTCTGATGATCATAATTTGCTTGTGACAGTGAAACTCTTGTCCGTCATGGCTTTAGCTACAATGGGAAAGATATGATCTATTCAGGTATTTTTGCTTTTCATCCTGCGTTGATGTTCTACTCTGGCTTCTTACATCCACTATGAAACTGATTTCTTTTGAATATCGTCCAAAGGAAACTTTGCTGACTGTGTGACTGGTAGGTAGTTCAGTGGGTTAAAACTTAAATTATATAACGGATTTTTTCCCCGAAAGTTTTAACGAGTCTGTAATCTGTAAATGAGTAGCAACAATGTAAATGGCCGTGTATGAAATACTCATAAAAGTAGGAACTGGCAGCATAGGTCCTAGATAAGGTTTTCCTTGACAGGTGGTTGGTCTAGGGTTGGAACAATGTTTTCTTCATCCATTTTAGGATCGATATGGTCGGTTTGGTTGGAAAGAATCGTGTGGACCGGATAAAAATAAAGAAAAAAGAGCATGGTTATTTTGGGTCAGAAGCACATTCCATCTAGTTTGGTCTGGTCCAGTTTTCATTTGGTCCGCTGTTTTCTTTGATGATCCATGAAGTGGAAGCTAATGCATTCCTCACTTTGAGAACCAAACCGAATAATATCATATTATGTCACGGTTGATGCAATTCGCATGTCGATTTGGTCTGGGAGGTCTTCTGTGGAGCAAATCATTGGCCATCCCTATCCATCGCTACCCCAACCACTTGGTAGGATATATTTCTTTGTACAAAGCCACCAGCCCAACCTTCAGACTAGGGTAAATTTCATTTTGGGTTCCAACATTCTGCCTCAATTAATTAGAGTATCTGTAGTCCAGGATGGTGAAACCCCCTAACGTAGACTTTTGAAACAATGGTCAAGTTAGGAAAAGTTCTTCTGTCATCTCTACTGGTCATTCCATGTAGAATCTTTTTCTGTATGTTTTCGCACAAAAAGTGATATTGCTGAACATGGGATCATGGAGTCTCACTCTCTCTGAACTTACTCCAGGAATAACGGGATGTCCACTGCAAGCATACATTTTTATGGGGCCTATATACTACCAGAAGTTGAAACACATGGTATGCTTTTGATTGTACTCTAAGGCATTAAAGTCCTGCACTCCTGCGGTTATTGCTTAATATTATTTGAGATCAAGTTTCCAAGTTCTACTAAGAACACTTCGATCTTTGTGATGTCCAGGTCCTAGATAAAATGCATGCTAGAGGTATGGGCCCTCGGGTTATGCTTACTAGACAGCCCACCGAAGGAAGAGCTCGAAACGGCGGTATGAATTTCATATTTAAGATTGCTTCTCAGAGCTCAAACTTATCTAGATCAAATGGAACACTTATAGTTTTGATACTTTCAGGACTTCGAGTTGGTGAAATGGAACGAGACTGTTTGATTGCATACGGAGCTAGCATGTTGATTTTTGAGCGCCTGATGCTTTCAAGCGACCCGTTTGAAGTTCAGGTTGTTAAAAACTGCCTATGAAATATTTTGTTCCATCAATCGACTTGCCGAAACATATGGTTCTTTTGCACATCGCACTGGTTATTGGGTTACAACTTCGTGTGCTGATCATAGCTGACGAGGATCTCTCTATTTTGCAGGTCTGCGAAGCTTGTGGTTTGTTAGGATATTACAACCATAAGCTGAGAAGTGCGTTTTGTTCCACGTGCAAGAATGGAGACAATATCGCGACGATGAAACTACCCTATGCTTGCAAGCTTTTGATTCAGGTACAAGAACAAAAATTGTTACATTTCTTCCTGCTGATGTTACTCCTGCATCTATTTGGCAACAGTTTTAGTTTATCCGAAGCATCTATCTGAATTTGCCATAACATTGTAGGAACTTCAATCTATGAACATTGTTCCGCGACTTAAACTCCAGGAGGCATGATAGATGTCTCGATCGCAAGAGATGACTAATCAGTGTCAATATCTCATGTTAAAGTGTCTTCGCTCCATCTTAGCTTTGGAGCTGTGCAATTGTATAATAGGAGCTGAAGGTTGAGGTGGAGAGAGTTGTAAAGGAAGAATACTTCTGTTAGGTTGAAAATTTGGATAGTGACTCGCAGGAGACTTCCTCCAAGGGATACATCATTAATTCATTATTGGAATCTTAAATACAATAATATATAATATAAGAGCTTATATTTATTTGAATCCTAGATACAAAATGTGGTTACGTAAAACAATTACATACATCATTGAAGAGTTTATGTTTATTCTATTTCTACCTAAAAAGTGTGGTTATTGTCGCACAAAAAAAAATGTGGTTATTGAAATGATTATGTTCGTGCACAATTTCTCCATGGAGAGGAAAATTTTGTTAGAGACGGTTTGATAATATAGTAATGAATGTAAAATTTCAAGAGTTTTTATATATTTTACACGAGCTTTTATATATTTTATTATAAGTGAGATTACGAGAAGAGTATATGTAATGTCAAAGGGCATTGTTATTCGTCGTCCTAAAATTCTTTATTTGTCACCCTAACTATACTAAATTTACTTTAATACCCTTCATTCATTTATTTGTCTTCAATCCCAAAATAAATTCATGTAATAATTAATTTAATCTAAGTACGATAGAAGAGAGCCGGAAAATCCCCATTTGAGTATTGCATTTGGCAGCTAAGGTCCTAGACTCAAGAAATGGCTTCTGGACATGATACAAGCAGATTTGATTAACATACAACCATGTGTTTACATTGTCCGAGTCATTAATGACAACAACCAAAGTTTCCCAGAAGGTGTCATCAAAGACATTTTATGTATGCACACCCACACGGTTTTGTAGTGCTTCATCTTGAGACGAGGATTATTGATGCAACAGCTGCAGCAGGAGCAACAATTGTGGATTTGGCCTAACTAATGTTCCAATCCCGACAAAGAAACTGCCTACTAAGAATATTCTTCTCTAGCACATCATCGTCGGTTGAGTGTTCCTTCTTCACCGCACGAGACTCCCTCCGTCTTCCTTTTTCGTCTTACGCATGGTTGTCAACTCGCTGGTTGACCCAGACCCGGTCGAACTAGTGGATCAAGGGTTAACTGGTCATTCGTTTTAACCCGTTTCAGCCCGGAAATATGAAAAGAGTCATTAAATTGTACTTATCCTAATAAATTATATCAAATCTCATTTAACATATGAGTAATAACATATAACATTATACCAAAGTAACATATTGTACTTAGATCTAACATATAGCGAAAATTCACACACACTTATATAACATCAATATTCAAATGTTTGACTAAGTATTCCAAAGATTGAGTTAGGCGAAAAGAAAAATCGAAAAATAGGCGCATTTCACAAACAAAGAAAAAAATGACACAATTTGACCTCCAACCCGATACCTTGTAGTGGTCGACCCGGCGGGTGCGTGCGGCCCGTTTTTCTCGTCAGGTCAAGGTCAAAATGGGTCGACCCCGCGGGTTGACAACCTCTCTTCCGATTCAGGGTTTGTCGGCGTGAGGGAGGTAGGTATGCCGGCGGGAGGATACTGGGTTAGGCGGCGGTGAGTTTTCAAAAGGTGATGTGAGTGTCGAATTTGGGTAGGCTGGGATAGGAATTGTTTGTTTCTAGGGTTTAGATTTGAATTAGGGCTAGGGGTGTATGTGTCACTTTGGTACGGTTTAGGATGATAACATTCAAATTTTAGGGCGACGAATAGCGATTCAGATGTCAAAATATAAAATTTGGGGTTAATTGCATGGTTGGTCACTGAAATTACAAAAAAATGTTCAAGTTTGGTCACTCGAAATATTTAAAATCATTGGTGGTACTTCAGCTTATTGAAACCATTCACGTTTGGTCACTCTCCGTCCAACTCCGTTAACTTTGGCTAATGTGGCAGTCAACTTTAAAAGTTGACCGTTAACTTAGTGACATGACAACTAAAAAATTATTAAAAAAAAATATAAACTTTTATATTTTCCACCTCATTATTGCATTCATTAAATAAATAAATAAAAACCTAGTTTCTTTTCTACAAACCCCCATACCCTACTCGACCCAACTTCCATCCCCGTCGCGGATGGGCTCTGTTTCTCACTACTTTCCCGGACTTCCCCCTTTTCGTTCGAATCCCTAGCCAGCCATGGAGACCAAAACCTCCTCCTCTATCGGCGAGCTCAGAGACAATCTCCTGGAAGAAGTTCTTATCCGTCCGGGCCCTAGATCCGCCTTCCGAAGCAAATCCGTCTGCAAGCGATGGAACTCCCTCATCTCCGCTCCCTGCTTCTCTCCCCGATTCGTTTCGCACGACCGCAAGATCGGTCCCAGCAGCGAACCCGATCTGCTGCTTCTAACTCCCGCCAAGCTCCGTCAATGGATCCTCACCTTCCTCCCCCTGCCCATCGCCGACCGATCCCGTCTCTCCGTTCTCGATTGCTTCGACGACTTGCTCTTGCTCGGCGATGGATGTGCTTAATAAACACAGTGGGCAGAGGGTCATAAGTATTTGATGTGTTATCCTCTGAATGATGCTTATAAGGCCCTGTTGTTAAGATAATCATAAGACACCTACACTACGAAATGCATCGTGTCGTTGCATCACATCACCGGTGCCAAAACCAAACTGTGTATCCTGATTAATCTAATGACAAATATTTCAATTTATCTAACCTATTTCCATCTCTATTAAGCACCACTGCAATGACAACCAATCTGACGACAATCGAATCAATAAGGAAGCCTTCTGCATTCTTCTATTCTCTATAGAGGATTAACCAGAGCATGTGGAGGATGATAAATTGGTCATTCTTACTAATACAATGAGCTGTTATAAAGCTATCATGCCGCTCCAGTATGCAAACATGCAATTGCTTGCACCGTCAATCAATTAACTAACATCATTCTCCAAACTGGTGTTGACGCACCGGCATCCTTCTAGGCACCACAGCTTTCCTGATAGTCGCCGCTTCCTTTTCCAGTTCCAGCTGCATAATCATCTCCTCCAGTGTCCGTTTTGTTGACGATCGGGACGCCGCCGGTGGTGGTGGGCGCTGCTGCCAAGTTGGAATCGTTGAACACAAAAATTGAGAAAGTTCAAAGAAAAGGTTAAGGAAACGCAGGCCGCAGAAGTTATTCTGCTAACTGCTCAAAGTGTTAGCAGATACTAACACGGTAGGATTTTGGGCCACGTCGGCCCAAGTTTCATCCAACGGAGGGGGAGGCGGCTTGGTAGTGGCTCACTTAAGTGAGCTGTAGGTGGGCCAATGTGTAGAAGCCGGCCCAGCATGTGGCGGCGGCGGCGGATCCCAGCAAGTGGCGTGATGGGCTGGTGGGCCCGGCTTGAGTTTGGGCGGGAGAATGGATAGGAGTGGAAAGAGAACCAAATTTGATAGGCCCATGTTATATTTATGTATGTTTGTTTGTGTGGATATTTATTTGTTCTCAGTGGATATTAATTTCTGTTATGTTGATAGTGCTTTGCATCATTGTTGAAATTTTGGGCCGTATTAATGTTTAACGGCAGCCCAAAATCATCCAACCACCATAAACTGATTACACCAATTTAGAGAATTAGTTTTAGGGTTTAGAGTTCTGGTTTTCAATTTGTGAAAGATTGGAATATTGTGTCTTACATCAAATTAAACACACTAGCAAGTCCTACACACTATCAAGTCCTAACACGTAAGGCTTGCAACCTTAGTTAGGGCTGCCCGCCGAAGGCCCATTAAATAATATTAGTTTTTATTGTTTATAGTTTATTTTTTAGGGTTGATTGTTTAGGTTTGGTTTATGGTTTACGGTTTACGGTATAGAGGTTAGGGTTAATGTTTCAACATAAGGGTTTGGGTTCTCTTTAGGGTTTAAGATTTTGTCCGGGTTGTGCGGATATTTATTTGAACCTGAGGAAACATTCCCTTAATTCATGTGTTTGGATATTTTTGTGGAACCTTTGAACATTCTCAGCTTGGGAAAACAATAATAGTTTTATTTTTTTAGTGTTTTATTGATTAGGGTGATAGAGTTTAAAGTTTAGGGTTTAAGGTTTATGGTTTAGGGTTAGGGTACAAATAGTAGATATTAGTTTGTGTGTTGTGGATACTTGTTTTTCTAGTTGTAATACTTGTTTCTGACATACTGATATTTATTAAAAATATTTTGATTTTTTTCCGGTTTGTGTGGATATTTATTTGAACCAGATGAAATATTCCCTTAGTTCATGTGTTTGGATATTTTTGTGGAACCTTTGAATATTCTCAGCTTGGGAAAACAATAATAGTTTTATTTTTTTTATAGTTTAGTGATTAGGGTGATAGAGTTTAAAGTTTAGGGTTTAGGGTTAGGTTACAAATAGTAGATATTAGTTTGTGTGTTTTGGATACTTGTCTTTCTTAGTTGTAATATTTGTTTCTGACATACTGAAATTTAATCAAAATATTTTGATTTTTTTCCGGGTTGTGTGGATATTTATTTGAACCTGATGAAATATTCCCTTAGTTCATGTGTTTGGATATTTGTGTTGAACCTTTGAATATTCTCAGCTTGGGAAAACAATAATAGTTTTATTTTTTTGGTGTTTTATTGATTAGGGTGATAGAGTTTAAAGTTTAGGGTTTAGGTTTTAGGGTTTAGGGTTAGGGTACAAATATTAGATATTAGTTTGTGTGTTGTGGATACTTGTGTTTCCTAGTTGCAATACTTGTTTCTGACATACTGATATTTATTCAAAATATTTTGATTTTTTTTCCGGGCTGTGTGGATATTTATTTGAACCTGATGAAAAATTCTCTTAGTTCATGTGTTTGGATATTTTTCTGGAACCTTTGAATATTATCAGCTTGGGAAAACAATAATAGTTTTATTTATTTATAGTTTAGTGATTAGGGTGATAGAGTTTAAAGTTTAGGGTTTAGGGTTAGGGTTTAGGGTTAGGGTACAAATATTAGATATTAGTTTGTGTGTTGTGGATACTTGTGTTTTCTAGTTGTAATACTTGTTTCTGACATACTGATATTTATTCAAAATATTTTGATTTTTTTCCGGGTTGTGTGGATATTTATTTGAACCCGAGGAAATATTCCCTTAGTTCATGTGTTTGGATATTTTTCTGGAATCTTTGAATATTATCAGCTTGGGAAAACAATAATAGTTTTATTTTTTTAGTGTTTTATTGATTAGGGTGATAGAGTTTAAAGTTTAGGGTTTAGGGTTAGGGTACAAATATTAGATATTAGTTTGTGTGTTATGGATACTTGTGTTT